ATCATTCAGCTGCAGAGCTCATTAATTATTCATGTCTACGTCAGAGATTGCGCTAAAAATATCTCTGAGAACCCATGCACCACCACACCGATCGTTACATTTTATTGTGGGCGCTGGCTGTTTGAGGAAAGACACGATGGGAATTGCTTTCTACAACCACAACAAAAATACTTGAACCGAAAAAAAGAAACATGTCTGAAAACACTAATTTCAGAATGTCAAATATGTTTTGTTCTGGGCTAATGCTGGCCAGTGTACAGTACTTGACTCATGCATACTCACTCAAAAAAAATAAAAAATAAATTTAGCTTAAGCAGTCAAATAACTCAAACATGAAAACACATATAAAAACACAACGTTTCAGTAGGTTTTAATGCGTCATTTCAAAGAGTCTTTTAAAAGGCAATAGGCTTTGTTCACAATTATGAACAATTGATTTGCTACTTGCTCGCTGGTTGTATTAGGGGGAGGGATATTATCATTCTAGAGAGCATCTGTGCAGTGAACGGTAAGGCTGGTTAGATAGCCCCATTAGCCCCTGCTGGTGCATGCTATAACTACAACATTGGCTTTAAACAGCATCTTTTCCAGTTGACGTCATTCAAAAGCATGTGAAACACAAATAAAATTGTTTGCATACAACATTTAGATCTCAAATATTTCTTTATATTTTAGTGTTGTTTGTGTTTGTGTGTGTGTGTGTGTGTGTGTGTGTGTGTGTGTGTGTGTGTGTGTGTGTGTGTGTGTTTGGACCAGTGTCTGATTCTGCGCTCTTAAAAGAATGAAATGGCCTACTAAACCTGCTAAAAGTGATGTTTGTCAACATTTTAGAGTACATTACCTTATACATGGCCTCAAAGTTTACAACCATGGACAAAATGTTACAAATCTTTCATTTTGATTTTATGGGATCATAAAATAGATAGAGTATCAAATAATGGCCCATGCAGGGCACACATGCATCCTTTCACCAATAGATGGAGCCAGCGGAATAAATATGAGTTCTTCATGAATTTGCACTTTGACCTAAATCCAAACAGAGAAATTAAAATAGCATCCATCTTTTTAAGTTGTGGTAATTCTCTCTCTCTCTCTTTAATATTATATTTACAATATTTAAGATTAAAATTTTTTAAAATCTCAAAATGATACAAATATAATTTGTAATGTTACAAATGTTACAAAAAGTTACTTTTAAAAGTAATGCATTACAATATTGAGTTACTCCCTAAAAAGTAACTAATTGCGTTACTTACTTTTTATGGAAAATAATGTGTTACTTTTTTCATCTGGGCTAGGCTTGCTTGTTTGTTTTTAAGTTCTATCTTTGGCAAATATAAAAGCCCTTTCACACTAACAGTGAAATGAATAATCCTTAGCCTGAAGGAAATGTAAATTCACATACACTCACTTAATAACAAAATAGGCTACCTTGTCCACATTTTCCAAGATTTAAGTCATCTTGAGGCCCCCTATTGGGTTATTTTTTCTTTAATGCAAAACAGTTTAACTTACAATTATGACAAGCACTGGTTTCTAAACTAAAAGCATATGATACAGCTTTCAAATCTGGCGACCGAGAAGCCTATAGTTTATCCAGGGCCAATCTGAAGAGGGGAATTAAAGCTGCTAAACATAATTACAAACCGCAGATTGATGATAAATTCGACAACAATGATCCTCGATGTATGTGGACAGGCATTCATGTCCTCACAGACTACAAACCATCAAACAGCATCCCCCCCAACCAGTAATGCCACACTCCCAGATGAAGTGAACATCTTTTATGCTCGCTTCGATCGTGGAAACACAGAATCATCCAACAAAGCTGACCTCCCACCTGACAACTTGCCGCTCACACTCTCTACCAGTGAAGTGTGCTCCACCCTGATCAGGGTGAAAGCATACAAAGAGGCTGGCCCTGATGGGGCCTGTGCAGAACAGCTGCCTGATGTCTTTACTAACATTTTCAACCTCTCCCTGGCCCAGGCCATTGTCCCTACCTGCTTCAAAACAACCACCATTGTGCCAGTACCAAAACATGCATGGTGCTGCAGTGGCCCCTAATGACTACCACCCTGTCACTCTCATGCCAACCATAGCAAAATGTTTCGAGAGGCTGGTACTCTCCCATCTGAAAACGTGCCTGCCCCCAACACTGGACCCATTTCAGTTCGCCTACAAACCCAACAGTTCAATTGAGGACGTCATCGCCTCAGCTCTCCACACTGCCTTGAATCACCTGGATAAAAGCAACACTTATGTCAGAATGCTATTCATCGATTTCAGCTCTTCTTTTAATACTGTGATTTAATCTAAGCTGATCTCCAAACTTACAGACCTTGGCATCAGCCCCTCTCTCTGCAACTTGACCTTGGACTTTCTCACCAACAGACCACATTCTGTTAGGATTAACAATTACAACTCCTCCATCCTCACCTTGAACGCTGGCGTACCACAGGGCTGTGTTCTGAGACCAATTCTCTACTCCCTTTTCACCCACGATTGCATACATGTTCATGTCTGTCTCTCTCTCTCTCTCTCTCTCTCTCTCTCTCTATATATATACATACACATATTTATGCTTATTTTTATATATTGGCTATTTGCACTTTTGGTTAGATGCTAACTACATTTCATTACTCTGCACAATGACAATAAAGTTGAATCTAATCTAGGGCTGCACAATTAATCGAATTTCTAATCGCAATTACAGTTATGGATGCCACAATTACGTAATCGTTCAACGCGGCAATTAATCGTTCAAAATCCACTTATGCTATTCTGCACGCTTAAGATATGTTGTTTTCTTTCTACATGTTATCTTAAGGGTTTTTCCATTGTTTTAGTTTTAGTTTTAGTATAACATTATAATACCATTCATATTTTTACTTTTTTATAATTTAAAGAAGAAACCAATCCGATGTATATTTGACATTTGAGGCTTAATACTATAGAAAAGCACTAAAGGTTTTTCAGTTAGTGTTTTCAGTTTGTTTATTTTCATATAAAAATACGGCATGCAGTTGCATCAAACAATGGTATAAACATCATTCAATGTAAATTGTGATAATCGTAATTAATAATCGCAATTACAATTTCAAGGGAATAATCGACAATTATGATTTTTGTCATAATCGTGCAGCCTAATCTAATCTGATCTAACAGTCGAACAACTGCATAACAAGTACCCTTATTAACCTATAGAGGGCACTATTCTACAATTTTTAAGTTTTACATCAGACGCTTTGCTTTGCCCGATAGTTAACGAGAAAAAAAACGTTTTGTATTGTAAATCCCCGATTTGAAAACTCTTCTGTTAAAATTAGTTGCATCAGAACAAACACAGACATTATTTTTCATATATATATAAGCAAGATATAAAAAATGTAAAGTGCCTAATGCTACATGAAATTATGTGTTTGTATTATCTTGACATATACCCCTGTTGTTTGAATAAATGTCAGGAATGTGTCACCACCATATCACTACTGCCGATCAGATGAAAGACAGAAGAAATAGGAGATTGATTTACAGATCAGAGTGGATTTATGGTGCATGTGTATGACTTAAAATGTGTCTGTGTGTATACAGTTACCATTATGGCATGCAAGATAAATACGTAAAATTAAAAAAATTAATAAATAATACATATATGTTGCTTTGTGAGGTCTCTGGGCCTCTTTATGGTAAGCAGAGAGATGCGTGTCCCTGTGCACCAGCTGCTTGGACACTAGTGAGCCAAACACCGCTGTCCTCTTTTGCTCTCAGACACGAAGTTCACAGTTAATTTTACAGACCACACTTAACAGTCAGCATGTTGTTTTAGTCAAGAATCAGTAGCTCTTTGAGCTATAACCTCACAATACTGCAAATCCTCGTCCGTTTTGTCCTGTCAAAGCCATGACAGCTGGGATTCACACGTGGTTCAATTGTATTAATTTAAGTTTCAGCCTGGCCCAAACTGTGGCCAGCCCACCTAAAACTGCGTTAAGCATAAGCAAAAATCACAAAAGAAAGGAGACAGAGAGGGGGGTCAGATCCTACTTGAGATTTCTCTCCCCACAGACCCCAAGAGAAAACAAGAGGAAGTAATAAAGACTGGAAGCTCTGCTTACAAAACGCGCATGACATGTGGACTCTTAATATAACGTAGCTTCGATTTAAAACCTGTTAACAGCTTTTCTGCTTGTCAAATGAATTGTGTTGCTTTTGTATCCATTTCATGCTTGTTTTGTCTACAGCTCCCTGCGATTATTCTCATTAACAGATGGCTCTCTTGGCATCTGCCTGGTAGTTTGGTGAGAGTGTTCGTCCGAGAGCAGATGATTGCCAGACATATGGATTTGATCAACAGGCCCCGTGCTGATGTTTTTTTTGGGCATGTTGACAGGCTGATAGACAAAAGTCTCTCTCTCTCATTCTCCTTCACACACACACACACACACACACACACACACACACACACACACACACACACACACACGCAC